CTTTACGTTTTTATGCATTTTTTGAACAATGAGGAATATATTCCTCATGGCGTCTCTCTGACGTAAAATGTGGACGGCCTCTCCTCATGACGTCACCAACTGTCATATGGTTTCCTCGTTAGCAGACGATATTCCTCAAAACAGCAGCACTGCTTATGACTGCCAGCCCTATACCAACCCCACCCGGCTCTTGAGAGGTAAAACTAAGCGAGCAAGGGTGGGCAGAAATGACGTCACAAACAAAAGACGTTCACATTGCGAATCCGCAAACAACCATTGAACGCTCACTTGTTCATTAGTATTCCGGATAATATAATAAACATTACTTTATTTTTCGTAACACAACGAAACCAATGTTGCATTTCAAGTATAACATGCAATATCTAAATTTGAACTGCTTCGGTGTCTACACAACGAATCATTCGAAGTTCATATGCCGACCAGTAATCTATTCATTGGTTATTTTTTCCAACACTTGTAACACTGTGTTTCTGTGTATAAGTATTGCAAGTGTTTCTAGCAGCTGTCCACTTATTTTCCTTGCAATTGCTTGTTTATTGATGATCCACTTAAAGTGGCACTTAAGTCACTGGAATCGCTTTTTTTTCTGAGTGTTACACTGCTTTTCGTTTCCGTCTCACTCGACTGCCACCAGTATATGATTGCTATTTTTTTCTATCACACACAATTGTTTTAACTTAGTTCTGGAACTATGGCAGTATTTATGTAAACATTTGTTTTGGACTTACTTTGTTGTTGAAGCGTCTACATACACAGGTACTTAGTTTGGGAGAGAATGCATTGTTAATTCTCTCCAGGGGAAGTGTTTTGAGTACACTTTTATAGGAATACTTAAGTGAAGTGTTCACCCCTGAATGAGTGGTAAGATGCGTGTCTGTGCCATCTTCACTCTTGACGACATGTCTTGACTGTACATATGAGAAAGTTACAAAAACAAAACACTTAGTGTGTCAGATTTAGGAGCTTCATTTATCTATTCACTGCAGAAAGATTACAGATATTAGATTCTTGCAAAGGACAATTTATACAGATTTTCCTTTGGCACAATGTCACCTTTACAGTCTTGAAAAGTAGGGTAAAAAATCTTAAAAATGTCAGGAAAACATTTATTTCACGAGAGACTATGTGCAACGCATATGTAAAGGGACTTTTCCAGGGCTCTTGAGACTTAAGGGGAAAATCTACACTGATTTTATGTAGCTTCATCAAATAAGCATTTGATTTATTGTACCTATTATTGATTCATTATCTGCAACCAAATATGAATCTTGATAATTGAGTCAACACTGAGTTATGATCTCTGCTACAAAGGCGAGGAAGGCGAGGAAGCAGCCCAACAGCAGCAGGTAGAAGCCGCCCTGCAGGTGGTCCAGCCCCAGCACCACCTGATTCGAGTTCTCCTGCATAAGAATTATCTTAGTTATTTTCGGATTAGAGATAGGCATATTTTCTTATTATACAAGTTATTCATCGACCTTCATGTATAATTATAGTATACCAAGTAACTTTAGCTTGACTATAGGTAACTTGTCTGTTATGATACTCACCAGAAGAGTTCCTTGTCATACATTCCGTCCTTGGACAACAGAGAACTACAAATTTACTAAGTTGCCTATAGTAATTTGAATCTATACCTATATTACAGCTCATTTACTCTTTCCTATAAAGACACTTAGTATAATATTTGTTCCCAGTGTTTACAGTGAACACTTCCTTGTTTCCTATATAATTCTGTATAAAGGATTGTTTAAGGTCTTACAGTTGCCGATTTATTATTAAAGTATCAATGAGAATTTATTGTCAAATATATAATATCGACTGCAAAGTTCAATGAAACCCTACCACTGAATTAATGCAAGTATTTTTACAGCTTCTTCTTAGAGTTCGTGCAATGTACCAACCCTAAGCAGAAGGTGGTAGGTTAGGTTAGGTTTGGTTACAAAGTAAAATATATTTTACATCAATACAAAATTCAGTTTTTGGATAAATCATATAAGACTGTAAAATCAATTCAACCTCGTTACAGCACACACACACACACACACACACACACACATATATATATATATATATATATATATATATATATATATATATATATATATATATATGTAATATTCAGAAATTTCAGAGTAATTTCAAACACCGCGCCATTGGCGATACTGAGCTTTCAAGGTCGTCGGAGGGAAGAGAGCGCTCCCTGCACATAGCGAGAGGTTGTGGAACTAGGCCTAAGTGATATTAAATGTAATTTGCCGAATTAATAATGATGCGATTCATGAAGTTAAGGGACTATTATTGAATTTGAAATTATTATAGATCGTTTATCAGTCTGAATAATGTCACGGGTGTCCCAAGGAGTTATTAGTTAGGCGGAAAATATGTCACGTAGGCCTAAGCTAGCGCCTTGGAGAGACGCGACGCTGGCTGGTCCTCAGTCACGTGAAAGCGATTGGACCTACAGGACATCCCTGCGCGTCCGTCCACAGAAATAGTCACGTGGTCTAGTCACCTGTGCTGCGCTATTGCAGTATAACAAGTAAGTCTCATTCAATCTCAGACAGGGTTTAGATAGGGCAGTGATAAAGTAAACTAGAGCTAACAGTGAGTTCATTTCAGGGTTTCCGCCAGAACCCACTTGACTGCGAGAGATTGACTGCCGTTTGAGACTGCCGTTGATGATTGAGGGTGGCGATTGTCGCCATTGGACCGATCAGTGTAGGCCTGTCACTGTTTAGCGGGGTATCAAAGGATCTCTTGAGGGAATCTAGCCGTCTGGGTGCCCAGCTGACGACGGGACGATCGTTGGGGTCATCAGCTCTCCTCTACCTCGGCTCACAATACCACATGTTTCAAGCAGCTTAGTGAAACCCTCTTGCTAACGGGAAGCTAAAGCTTCTCTCAACTGTACAAGGTCTGATTGGCTCACTCCCTTCCGCTTTATGGATGTACTGGGGGTAAAGTGAAGCTAGCTGAGTGATACAGGGTCCCACACTGGGACCAAGAGTCAGTGGAGTTTAGAGGTACACTTTCCAAGGTGGAGAAAGGCTGATTTGGGCCTTCAACTACGGGTGCCTGTTGGTTGTGCCTTAAACGACTACGGAGTGCAGGTGGAATCTGTGTGTGTGTTAGGTTAGGGAGCATGGTTCACGGGTATTGGACTCAGTAACGTCTTTATAATAGTGACAATATTTTTGTGTGTAGTTAATACTATTTTTTCAGTTACTAATGTATGCTGTGTGCATTTAAAATTTCTTTATAGTTTCAATCTCTGATATAACCTTTGTTCCCCAGAGTAGTGTTTAAGTTAGGTTAGGAGGTGTGCATCTGTTGGTGTAACATAATTATATTGAGTGCCCTTTAGGCCTATTCATGGTGGAATTAATAATTTCTTATTTTTATACCACTTCTGCAGTGGTGGATATTATTCTGTGAAAGCCCTTAAGGCCTGTTTCATGTGTGCAAGCAACATTTCTTAATACTTCAAATTTATTGTTGCCTGAGTTTCTAATAATTTCTATATCATGTATAACTTTTATTCCCCAGAGTAGTGTTTTAAGTTCAAGTTAAGAGGTGCGCATATTGGTGTACCATTATTTGATTGTGTTTGTAGTGTTGGAGGGAATATAAGTGTCTAAATTTTACAGTGTGTCTCATTCATCCCAGTCACAGACGCTATCCTTCCACGGGTCACGGACAAGTCATTTTGTTTAGTAGATTTAAGTGTTCTTGTGCTGGTTCGGGATTTTTCTCAAAGGGGCGCTTCCACTGCCTTTACCATCTATTAATCTTTAATAAACCCCAAGTCAAGTGAGAAAATAAAGTCCAGTAAATTCCGACCGGTTATATATATATATATATATATATATATATATATATATATATATATATATATATATATATATATATATATATAT